CCTGTAGTGGTTTCTAGGTTATCGCCAGCGCCGTTTGTGTCCAGTGCTGAGGGTTATCGCTAGACTGGCTAGCGCTGTTAAACCCACCTCTACACACACACGCTATGCCATTGCAGATCGTTTTGTCCCTTCCATCCCATTTCCCTTTAATGCCATTCCTTTCTTCCCCCGGGGGTATCTTTAAGACTGTTATTTCGACTTGTTATTTCGACTGTCAAGTGATTAATATCACATAGGCAGCGCTTTTGAGGAAGCGCTTGTGTTTCTAGGATAGCTCTTTAACCCACCTCTACACACACACGCTATGCCATTGCAGATCGTTTTGTCCCTTCCATCCCATTTCCCTTTAATGCCATTCCTTTCTTCCCCCGGGGGTATCTTTAAGACTGTTATTTCGACTTGTTATTTCGACTGTCAAGTGATTAATATCACATAGGCAGCGCTTTTGAGGAAGCGCTTGTGTTTCTAGGATAGCTCTTTTAGTTAAAGAGGAAGTTGTAATTGTCTAAATTTTGCAAGCTATCTTTCAAATAGCTACAACCATTCTGAAAGCAGTGCACTCATGCAGCAACATAAATATTGAAGGGTGCCTTTCAAGGTCATCTTTTCTGTAGCACCTTTGCCTGTTTATACTTTTAACTTTTGGCCCATTGTAGCAGGTTTGGTACACCTGCTTAGCCTCCTAACGGTGGTGATCACTACATTTGTGGATGTTTTCAGAGCTTCTGAGAAATTCAGAAGGCTCCTAGAATGGTACAGGATAGTTTATTGAGGCTTTATAACAGTATTGGCAACAGTTGCACAGAGTGGAAATAAGACAATGCAGGCTGAACCTTCTTAGTTTAATCCACTGGTATTTAGTGTTAGTATGAAATGATAGCTGTTCTGGGGCATTCTGTGATCACAGTTCCCTGAATTGTTTGCTGTTTTAGTTAAATGAGGTTAGGGAGGGATAGAAATCAAACTGTTCCAAGAAAACAATGGTTATGAGGGGAAAAAGGCTTTTAGATTATTAGATGAGTGCAACCTCCGAGTGTAACTTTTATCATCTTGATTCTATGAAGCTTGAATATATAATAGAGTTGGTTATATACCATCTTCAGCTGCAGAGGTTGTGACTTCAGCTGCTGAAAGTTCAAGGCTATTGAAAAGTTGAAGAGGTTTTAGTGAAGAGCTACAAACATAATAAAAAAGTGTAGAATGCCCTAAATACGCTGAGTTCATTGTCTTCAGATTCTGGTAGAATGCTAGAAGTTTGGCAAGGGATTGCAATCTAGCAGACAAAGGTGTAATGAAGTCTAGTGGCTGGATTTTGAATGGGAAAAACATGCATTTGAAATGAAGAGTATTTAAGAGTGAGGTGGCTAACAACTGGGGAAAAAATTGCCTATATCTCAGATATATTGGGTCGATTTGATTTTTTTTTTTTCCTGTTAGAAATCATTTTCCTGAAGATATCGGGTTAGAAGGTTTTTTTTCTGGGGTGGGGGGAATGTTTTCTTGACCTAAGTAAGTGTGATAATATGACTTATTTAAAATTTTGCAAATAACTAAATACAATGTCATGCAGAATATTATTAGTGAGGAGATTGATATGAGGAGTTGAGAGGTAAGCAATTTAAAGATAAAATGATGAAGTATGTTGAATGGGGGCTCCTAGATTGAATTATTAATGGTGCTGGTCAGTGGTCTTGGGACTGTGGCTCAGTGGGAGCACAGTAATGAAATTTCTTGACGGTGTAGTTGGAAAGCAGAGACGTTATCAACATGGAAGCAGACTGGAATATCTGGCGAGAAGAATGGGAAGACTTTTGAGGCCTAACAGTAGAAACAATGGTGCAGAATGTAGGGTTACATGGAATTGTAAATTAATAGTGAAGTTCCTCTAGAATTTCCAGCTTCAGAGGACAGTTGGGCATACTGATGCTATAATATTAATAAGTCATCAGCATAATAGTCTGTGGAAAAAATGGGTGCAGAAATAAGATTATATTGGAGTCTTTCAGCAGACACAGGAAAGTGCTGCTTTTGCGCTCAGCAAAGTGAGACCCTGCTCTGTGCAGTTCTGATTGCCTATCAGCAGGCAGGT